ACCTCTTACAAATGATTCCTAAATCTCTTTCTTGACCACTTTTCTGAACTTTGCATCAGCATCTCCCACCCATTACAAGACATTTCTAGCTAGATGTTCTACTTGCACCCTGATGTCAATGTATCCTAAATTGAGCTTATCATTTCCTCCCCACCACCTGCTCCTCCTTCTGACTTCACTATCCCTGTGTGTGGCACCATCATTCACTCACTCTCCCACAACTTTAGGGCTCCCTTTTACCACACTACTGGCCTACCACAAAGTCTTCCTACTTCTGCTCCCTACTCCCTACCAACTCTCCCCCAGTCCATTCATCATCCCACTGCTAGAATAATGTATTTTATTCATAGATCCAGTCATATCAGTCCTCTGCTCAAAAAACTTCCATTGCTCCCTACAGCCTCCTGGTAAAGCTCAAATTCCTTTCTCTGACACATTCAAGATTTTCCATAATCTGGCCTCCCCCTGTCTTTGCAGCCTTATCTATGATTATTTCCATCCATTCTCTAGCCAAACTGGAGGGGCTTTCTTCCTCCCAAACATTCCAACCTCCACCTTTATGTTCCCACTTTTCCCATTTGCCTATGGAACTTCCACCAATATTTTGAGTTTTTAAAAATAATTGTGATATAGTAAATTCAATCTGTAACTTTGCAAGCTATCCTACTTGTCTGATTCCTTCTGACTTTCCTTTGGTTCCTTTCTGTGGGTTAAAATAAAAAAATGTTTCAATGACCCTCTTTTCCTTCTTCTTTTTCTTTTTATGCTACCATGAGCTGGTAGGTGGTGAAGGGGTTAGAGCACCAGGCTTAGAGTAAGGGAGAACTGAGTTCAAATCAGGCCTCAGGCATTTACTAGCTGTGTGACCCATAGTCACTTCACTTCTGTTTCCTCATCTTTAATTATAAATATTATATTATGACTATAATAGCACCTGCCTCCTATGGTTGTTGTGAGGATCAAATAAGATAATAATAGTAAAGCACTTAGCACAGTTTCTGGCCTATAGCAACTGCTATATAATTGTTAGCTATTATTTTTATATCCTACCCTCTCCTGCCCAGCCCCCTCCATATTACAAAGAAAAGAAAAACAAAGCCCTTGTAACAAATATACATAGTCAAGCAAAACAAATTCCTGCATCAGTCATATATAAAAACATGTGTCTTACCTTGAGTCCATTTCTATCAGTAGATTGGTCATAGACCAGATTTCTCAAGTCTTTCCAAGTTGTTGTTTTTTTTATAATGTATAAAGATATAAATTGTTCTCCTGGTCCTGCTTGCTTCTGTATCAGTTTATACAAGTCTTCCAAGGTTTATGTGAAGCTATCCCTTTCATCATTTCTTTCTTTCTTTTTTTTTTTTTTTAGGCAATTGGGGTTAAGTGACTTGCCCAGGGTCACACAGCTAGTAAGTGTCAATTGTTTGGTCTGAGGCCAGATTTGAACTCAGGTCCTCCTGACTTCAGGGCCGGTGCTCTATCCACTGCACCACCTAGCTGCCCCTTTCATCATTTCTTAACACACAATATTACTCCATTGTATTCACATGCTATAATTTATGAAGCCATTCTCCAATAGATGGGCATCCCCTTAGTTTCCAGGTCTTCACTACTTCAAAAGAAGTATTTTTTACTGAATGCTATTAATATTATTGCCATTGATATTATTGTACAAATGGGTTCTTTCCCTCTTTTTTTGCTCTCTTTGGTGTATAGGCCCAGTACCCACAACGCCTTAAGACAACCTACGTGCTACCTCCTCCAGGGAACTTTCTCAGGTTAGGGAAGTGGGAGGTGGGGAGAAGCAGCAGGGAGAAGTAGCCTCGCATTTTAAAAGGAAGCTGGAAGAAAAGTAAAAAAAAAAAACCCCACCTTGGTGTGGAGATATATCTAGCCATGACCCTGGGATGATTTGGGGTCAAGGGGACTGGATTTGTAGGCAGGAAGCTGCCTGTGCAGGGAGCTGGTATGGTTAGGACAGAGTTGCACTATACAGGTTGCCTGTAATGACAGGATAAACAGCGTGGGCAGGCAAGGCTAACCAGTGCCAAGTCTGAGCGAAAGGGCAGTGTTTGGAGGAATATTTTTAGATCTCTCTCAGAAGATCGTAATTGTAGGTTTTAGAGGGGTAGGGGATGAGAAGGCAGGATGGGGTGGGGGGTATCTTTGTGAGTGTATGATTCTGGGTTATTAAATTAACTGTAGGTATTTTATATGTGTTTGTGTTCCTGTGTGTAGACATATGTGTTTATGTAGGTTTACCCTTCACACGTGTTCTACATGTCATCTTGTAGCATCTGGCTGTGTTTGTATGTATCAGTGTTTGTGTCTGCTACTATGCATGTAAATAAGTTTTCCCTTTCCTAGTGTTCCTTCACGGGCTGGAGAAAGATGACTTTAGCTCAAAAATAACAACCTGGGTTCAGCGATTCCATGATTCCTCCAGCCTAGAAGTCTATCTCGGAACCTAGGCACTGGTTTACTGGAGATCATGGTAGTTAACTTCAGTAAGGTGGATTTAAAAAAAAAAAAACAGCCAGCCAGGTTCACCCCCCCCACTCCAGATGAAAAATGTGAACTCTGGAAAGTGAGTAGGAATAGGGCCCTCCTCTCCAGCTCCTCATTTAGATCGCACTGCTTGACTCTGAGTAATTTGACTGATCCTATAGATATGAACAAAGGCCTGGGAGCTGCTGCTCTGTGTGGTCAGACGGACAGAGGGGAAGGTGTGGGAGCTTCCCACCTTTAAAATAACATACATATATAGACTGGCACATGTACACTCTGTCGATTATAAGAAGCACACAGTGCTTGCCACTCATGCAAACAGTCTGCGGGGATGAATCAAACTTTGTTTTGTCTTTTTTTTTTTAAGGTTAAGAAATATGAGAGGGAGTCACACTCCTGAGATGAGAGCTAAGCACCCAAACCAAGAAATTAGAACACTAGCTCTTTAAAGTAAGACATAACAACTACACCTCAGAGCCCAACGAATCCAACTCCCTCATTTTGCAAATGAGGAAACTGAGGCCCAGAGATGCCAAATGATTTGCCCAAGGTCACACAAGGAATAAATATCAGAAGTAGGATCCAAACCTTAGTTGTCTGATTTTAGAGATTGTGCGCTTTCTGCTGTAGCAGGAAAGCAGCACAGGAAATGTGGTCCAGTGGCATAAGCACTGGTCTGAATCCTCCTTCTGATGTTTATTACCTATGTTACCTTGGATGAGTATTTTAACCCTTTGGGGCCTGAATTTCCTCACCTGTACAAATTGATGGGGTTAAACTAGATGACCTCTAAGTGGAGAGTCTAACATGAACCCAAAGCAACTGTGAATTGGCAGCCAAGGTGCCTCTCTTAAAGATCTCCTCCCATGACTGAGGCCACCCATGGCATTTCATTCTGGAGGGTCCGTCTGTGTGTTGTATCATTTGGAAGAAGGGGGAGTTTTCTGACTCACAACTCAAACCCATCACTGGTCATTCAGTCATTATCCATTTATGCCTCTGACTCCTCAAAACTTTCAGTCTCTGGAGAGTTCCCTATTAAAATTCAAAAGCCTCAGACTTGGGTCCTACCTAGCTAGCACCTCTTTATGCCTTAGAAGAAAACCCTAGTTTAAGGAATTTAGGAATGAAGACCCTGCCTAGACTGGGAAAATATCTTGTTGTTCAGTCATGTCTGACTCTTCCTGACTCCATTGACTATCTCTATGGGATTCTCTTGGCAAAAATGTTGGATTGTTTTGAATTTTCCTTCTCCAGTGTGTCCTCATTTTACAGATGAGGAACTAATACAAATAGGGGTTAAGTGGAAAATATCTGCTGGAAGTCAAAGCCAACAATAAGCATTTATAAACCCCTACTATGTGCCAGGCACTGTGCCAAGTGCTGGGCATACAAAGAAAAGCAAAAACAGATCCTACCCTCAAGAAGTCCGAAATCTAGTGGGTGGGTAAGTGTGTGTGTGTGGGGGGGGGGGGAGATGATAACAAGTGAATAACTATGTACATGCAAGATATATACAGAATAACTTGGAGACAATCTCAGAAGGAAGCACTTACAGCCCAGAAGACCCAGAAAGTCTTCTTAAAGAAGGTGGGATTTTAGCTGGCACTTAAAGGAAGCCAGGGAAACCAGAGGGCAGAGGTGAGGAGGGAGAGCATTCCAGGCGTGGGGAAGAGCCAGGAAGAGCAGCAAGAGTCAGTAGTTGGTGTATCATGTGCAAGGAGCAGCCAGGAGGCCAGTGTCACTGAATCTTGGAGTATGTTGATAAAGTAAAATGTAAAAAAGGCTGAGAAGGTAAGAACGGGCCTGGTTACGAAGGGCTTTGAAAGCTAAACAGAAGATTTTATATTTGATCCTGGAGGCAACACTGGAATTTATCTAAAAGGGGAGTAGCACATTCTGGAATGAAGAAAGAGACTTAAAATGGGAAACATTCAGGGAGGTGGAGTGGGCAATTTTGCTTACTTCCCCATGTGGATGGTTGGGTAGGGGGAGGGCTTACCCTCCTCTTCACATACATGCTATTCTTTGATGTATGATGGAGCCATGTCGTGGTTTCACTGCTGCCAGTCAGTACTACATCTTCCTGCAGAGAGGGAAAACCACTCCTTAGTACAGTGGAAGAAGCAGCTAGGTGGCTCAGTAGACAGATGCTGGGCCTGGAGTCAGGAAGATTCATCTTCCTGAGTTCAAATCTGACCCAAGACATTTACTAGCTGTGTGACCCAGGGCTTGCCTCAGTTCTTCCTCTGTAAAATGAACTGGTGAAGAAGAAATAACTAACATTTATGTAGTGCTTACTATAGGCTAGGCACTATGCTAAGTGCTTTACAATTATTATTTCATCTGATCTTCACAACAATCTTGGGAAATAGGTGCTATTATTATCCCCCTGTTACAGATGAAGAAACCAGCAAACAGAATGAAATGACTAGCCCAGGGTTAACACAACTAATGAGAGTCTGAGGAAATATTTTAATTCAGTTCTTTCCAACTCCAGGCCAGTACTCTACCTGCATCAACTAGCTGCCCCGGTTTTCTCATTCTTCGAATTTTGAAAATCACATGCATAATTTTCTTAAAAAAACCCCCACTAATTAAGCTTTAAAGCAGACTTCAACATGGCCAAAGTATATTTCTTGGAATTAAAAAATATAATAATCATTCAATAAGAAAATATACAAACAGAATACATTGTACATAAAAAAGGTTAAATCTTTTTCTTCCATTTCCATTAGTCATGAGTATTAATGCAGAAAGAAAACGAGATTTAGTACTAGAAGAAATGAAGAGATACTTCTTTAAGAAGAAATTGTCTGGAGTTCCTATCCAGATCATACATGTGTGGAGCCTTCCCCCATTATTCCAGCCAAAGACACATATATAATCTATGCTACTCCTTTAACCTGCCATTTATTGAAGAGTATTCTGAGATTTTTGTCTCAGATGTGTGTCATATTCTTTACTCCCCTACTGCCACCCAGAAGTAGATTTTAAACTCCTTGCACTCAAGAATGATGTCGTCTCTTTACACCATCCTGCCCCCACGGAATCTTATCTAGCACATTGTACCCAGTAGGCATACAAACATCAGACTGATTGGATAACCCATCCCCATTTCTATTGTTATCTGCTCTGCTTCTGTTACTTCTAATTATACCTGTGCAACTCCACTTCTTCTCCAGCTACCAGCCTTATAACTTCCCTCGTGCCTGCAGAGACTGCTCAAAATCTAGAGAGGGCATCCTGACCTCATTCCCGTTTACCATTCTATTAAAATCTAAAGTTTTGTGGAAATTGGAAGAGAAAAAGATAAGACATTGTGGAATTTTGTGGCATAGTTAAGATATAGGGGAAAAAAAAAACTTCTCATGATTCTTGCTCCAGTCCTATGCATATTATGACATTTTGTGAGCAGTCCCTATGTTATCCCACTATCGCCAACTGGCAATTATGGGGCAGGCAAACCAGCTGAGCTGAAGCAGCAAGATGCCCTCAGGGTGAGACTTCAGGCACCATCTCTGTTACCATCACCGCTACCACACTACTTTGACCATCATTTCTCCTCAAGCCTCAGTAGAGACAGCCCAGGACTCAGTGGTCAAGAGCCCCACGAATCTCAGCTCACCAGGCCTGCTTCTTACCCAACCTGGTAGCCATCTTTGAATGGGACAACTCTTCCGGTGCTAAAACTTGGCAACTGCTTTCTTCAGCCTCCATCTCCTCAGCAGCCATGGGAATTGAAAATGGTGAAAGGAAGATCTTGTCATCAACATCCTTGGCCCTGTCAAAGGACCCAACATCAGAGATAGACATGGTTTTATCAATGGAAACCTCCTATGTATGTTGTCTCCTCCTATTAGAATGTGAGGTCCTTGGGAGCAGGGATTAGCTTGCTATTCCATTTATATCCCTAATACTTAGCATAGTGCTTTGCATATTTAAATGATTAATAAGTGCTTTTTCATTCCTTCATTTATTCATCTATAAAATGAGAGGGTTGGACTGAATGACCTCTATCACTTATAATTCTTACTCCATGACCCTATGTTCCTCATCTCATATTAAAAAAAAAAGAACTTCCTTCTCATCCTCCAGTGTTATTTAGTCTCATACATTGGCTATTAAAGACTTACAGACTCTTGCTTAGAGGGGTATAAGACAGAAGCAGAATATGGGGCAGGGAAGAGCAGGAGTATTGTAGTTATATTCAAGTATGGTGAAAGGCATATCTTCCCTAGTCCCAGTGAGTTGGCAAGGGTATTAACTGAGCACTGATTATATGCAGCATCTCCTATTAAGGACTTTGGGAGCAATTGACCCAAAGAATTTATTTTGTACATTAAAATGACAAAATACTTCCTTCACAACAATCCTGTAAGGTAGGTAATTGCAAATAATAGGGCAAATATCCCCATTTTACAAATAAAGGAACAGAGTCTCAGAAAGGAGAGGTGACTTACCAAAGGTCAGGCAGTAAGCTGGAAATCCCATTCTTTTGATGTGGAAGCTAGTGGTCTTCCCATTACTCCATGCTGCCTTCTGATCACCAGCCTATGTACCTGGCCCTAAGAATCTTGACTTCTAAGGGAGAAAGGCAAAGTGTTTTTGATCCTTTGCTAAAGACCTCAGAGAAGGGTGCCTCTCTAGTGACCTTCTACGTTCAGCAAAAATGGAAGCAGAGGAAGCTCGGCTTTAGTGTCCTCCCAGTATCCCCTATCATTCCCTCCTAGAGGACCAAATACCTTGCTCACCCTGCGACTACTCAGGGTCCTCCCTACTATCATATCTAACAAAAGTTTATCTCTTCCTGGATCTGCTCAGCAAGGTTGCTGGAAGGATCTGGTAAAACTCTTTCATGATAAGGTGATAATCGCAATACTTTCCTGTTTGTAAAAGGCCTTGCAGTTTAGAAAACACTTACTTATCATGATCTTACTTGATTCTCACCACAACCCTGCAAAGTAGAAAAGAAGAAGAAGAAGAAGAAGAAGAAGAAGAAGAAGAAGAAGAAGAA